CACCCGGTCCAAACTCACCTCTGGCCCCCCGCCGCGGGACGAGAAAAACTTCCCGAGCAGACCTGCTGGTGGGCAGGACGGAGCCCAGCGTGGCAGGGTGGCATGCATGTGGCCTGGGGACCCAGTGGCACCTCCATCGCAGGGAAATGCCATCGCCTATGGCCACGCTACCTGCCTGGCCAGTCCGGCAGAGGACAGGGACAATGCCACAGGCAGGCTGGGGACCTGAGGCTTTCTCACCAGCATCTGGTCACCATGTACTGCTCCAGATCCAAACCTGGGGCTCTGGGAGGAGCTGGTTAGCAAAGTGGTCTTACAGCGAGCATCCGGGGGGAGAGGGACATTACGGCAGCAGCTCTCCCAGCCCATTGATTCCCCGTGCCCCTCAGCAGCCTGTGCCGACCACACTCCCGGCTTGCCGATAGCAATGGAGGCATCTCTACCCCTGGTCCCTTCTTCCCCTGAGCTCTCCCCATCAGCACCAAGACTAGAAATCCCAGCTCCTGAGACTGTCCTTTCCACATACGCCCTGGTCTGTGCTGGGTGCTGAGGTTTGCCATGTGAGGGGTGGTCTTACCCCAGTCCCCCATCTTCTCCTTCCTCCTGTCCTCCCTCTGCAGCTCCCCTGCTGCAGTGGCACACCAGGCGCCAGGAACTCGGGCTCTTTTGGCAGGTGGCAGCCAAGAGGGTGATGCACGGGATTTAAACAGTGGCCAGGAGAGCCCGGGTCAGGGCACACCCACCAGCATCAGGGCGTACCCCCACCCACACAGGAGGGGTGTCCCCAACAGGCTCATCCTCCCCTGGTGTGGCTGGTTAACTCCTCCATTGCCTAGGAGACACTGCTGGCACAACAGAGCCCGGCCCAGCGCACGCGGCACTGATGGGGAGGAGGTGGGGACGTGCTGGCACACCTTCGCCTGCTCCGCTCCCAGCCCCACTGACTCAGCCTGCCACTCGTGGGAATGCCCTGGGCAGCACCGCATGGGGCCAGGAGCCCAGTGCGTCCCTGGCTCCCTGGCCCCAGGGTTTACAGCCCCAAAACTGCCATGGGAGGGTGTGCACGGGGCACAGCACGGCCAGCTCCTCCCACCAGCGCTGGCTGGCAAGGGGAGGCAATGAGGACCTGAGCCAAGCTGGAGCACCTGGGAGAGCCTGGGTATGAGCGTGGGACTACCACTTGGCTCAGGTGCTGGCGGCCGATCGCCAAGCAGATGCCACCCCATTCTCCGTCACCCCATGGCTGCACCCCAGGAGGGTCTGATGAGACTCAACCCCTCCTGGAGCCTCTCTAGCCAATGCAAACAGGGATGTGCAACATGCGCATGTCCCCTTACCGGCACCATGCGGTAGAAGCTGATGTTCGTTCCCCCTGGGCTCCCCATCCCTCCTTCCCTCCCTTCCAGCACACACAAAAAGCCAGACCAGGACAGGGCAGTGCCGGCCAGGGGGACATTCAGGTGGCAGCAAACAGAGCACACGGAGGTGCCTCGGCTGGGGCAGACCCTTTCAGCAATGACAGGGCTTGGAGACCTGGTCCTCCCACCCAGTGTGGGCATCAGGAGGTGAGCGTCAGAGCATCGCTGACAGCTCCTCGGGTCGTCACAGCCCTTCCTGTCTCTGTCACGTGGCATCTGGAGACACCGTTGTCCCAGTCTGGCTGGGGCTGCTTTGCTGGCCCCGTTGCCCAGACAGCCTGGCCAGGCCACTTGTACTCGGGAGCCCTTGCCCTTGGAGGGCAGCCTGCACGTTGTCCCCTCTCCCCGCCCTGGCCAGGCGAGAGGAGCGGTACATGCTGAGGCACACATGCCATCACTCCCGAGCCCTCCGGCCCCAGAGAGACACAGGGAGGACCAGCCATACAGCTGTGTGGTTCCCTCCTGCCTGCAGACCGGCCACGTCCCCTCACCTTCATCAGCGGCAGAGGTGGGGCATTGCAGCACGAGCACTGTCCTGGGGGCCGTACGTGGGGCTGGCTCCGCTCCCCTGGGAACACCCAGGGACGTTGACGTAGACATGGTGCCGCAGTTTATCCCTTCTCTGCGGTTTGCCCAAGGGCCACCGTGACACGGCCCCCAGCCCTG